TACATACATACATACATACATACATACATACATACATACATACATACATATATATATATATATATATATATATATGTCTGTGTGTGTCGGTGTGTGTTGTATTAGAGCTGATAAATAAATAAATAAATAAAGTGTATATATTATATATATGTAATCTTTTGAGAGCTGAATGCAGCGAAGTTTCATTTTAATGTGTGATTTAGAATAGAATAACTTTATTGCCTCATTGAATGTACAGTAATCCTACATTCCTACGTTAAAATGAAATTAAGTTGCATTCTGCTCTCAAAGGGTCACCACTTCTAATATACACTACATAAACATGTCAAAATAAACAAACAAATAAATAAATAGAAAATTATGCATATATCCTCATATATTATATGACACGGAGAAAACACAGTCTAGTCCGGATGTATACATGTACACGGTGAAAAAAAAACAAATCCTGCAAGTTTACCAGATGGATGGCATAGGGAACAAAGCTTTTACAGAATCTGGAGGTCCTGCTAGAAATACTTGGAAACCTCCTCCCAGAAACAGACCGTAAAGTGGGTGTGTGGGGTCTCTAACAATGCTTCGAGCTCTAAGCACATAGCACTTATAAGCAGTATCCTGAATAACCGGAAACGAGCTTCCTATAATCTTCTCCGCTGTCCTCACCACTCTCTGTAGGGACTTTCTATCTGAGGGGCTGCTGCCACCACCAAACAGGGATGTTAAAACGCTCTCCATTATGCCTCTGTAAAAAGTGGCTAGGACAGAAGGAGAAAGATGTGTTCCCATCCGATGCAGGAAACGCAGACGCTGGTTTGCACGCTTTACTAAGGATGACGTATCGAGAGACCAGTTCAGATTGTTAGTTATCTGCACCCCCAGATACTTAATACTGTTGACCACCTCTACAGCTGATTGTTGTACATACATGTTTGCTGATTAGTGACAATAAAGTTTTTGTTCTATTCTGAAAGGAACCGCTCAGGGATGCAGGTCAAAACAGGAAAGAAAATAGGAAGACGACATCTGTCTGCTCTAAAGAGAGCCGAGGTGGCGCAGTGGTTAGAGTGCAGCACTGCAGGCTACTTCAGCTGACTGTTAGCTGCAGTTCGGCTGTTCAAATTTCACCGGCTCAGGGTTGACTTCCATCCTTCCGAGGTGGGTAAAATGAGGACCAGGTTGTTGGGGGCAATATGCTGACTCTGTAAACCGCTTAGAGAGGCCTGAAAGCCCTATGAAGCGGTATATAAGTCTAACTGCTATTGCTATTGCTATTGCATGGCTTGGTGGGCATGGCTTGGTGGGCNCTATCTATCTATCTATCTATCTATCTATCTATCTATCTATCTATCTATCTATCTATATCTATCTATCTATCTATCATCTATCCATCCATCCATCCATTCTTCTACCTACCTCTATTTACCTATCTGTGTATCTATATTTCTCATTTTATCTCTCCTTTCATCCAACTTATCTATCTATCTATCCATCCATCCATCCATCCATCCATCCATCCATCCTTCTACCTACCTCTATTTACCTATCTGTGTATCTATATTTCTCATTTTATCTCTCCTTTCATCCAACTTATCTATCTATCTATCATCTATCTATCTATCTATCTATCTATCTATCTATCTATCATCTATCCATCCATCCATCCATCCATTCTTCTACCTACCTCTATTTACCTATCTGTGTATCTATATTTCTCATTTTATCTCTCCTTTCATCTATCTATCTACCATCCATCCATCCATCCTTTCTTCTACCTACCTCTATCTACCTATCTGCGTATCTATATTTCTCCTCTCTCCTTCCATCCATCCAGACTTAGAAGGTATGAAAGAAATAGGATATAATTAAAACTAAGGTAAGGACCCCCAGCTAAGTCTGGCGCTCCAAATAAGGTACTCCAGAAAGAAGAGCTGCCAAAAAAAAAACAGCACGCCACATTCACACGACCCACTTAGGACCCGTGTTCGATCCACCTTTCATAAAAAAAAAAAAAAAAACGAGCCGCAGGGAGGCCAAGAAAGGAAACGAAGCCCGATCTCTCGATGAGCCGCGAGCGCCACGGCGCACGCGCGCGATCGATGCGCTCCGCGCTCGGCTGCCGTGGCCTCCGGGGCCGCCAGGCGACTCCAAGATGGCGGCCGCTGCAACAGCAGTAGCAGCGGCGGCGTGAGGGGGTCTGTTTCTTCCGCTGGGGCCATGGCGGCGCTCTGGGCCTTGCCGGGCCCGGAGCATCAGTGAGGCGAAGATGTCGGAGAGCTACTCGCGGTGGCTGCTCCGCGTGTCGGTGGCGCAGGTGTGCCAGGCGCTGGGATGGGACTCGGTGCAGCTTTCCGCCTGCGACCTCCTCACCGACGTGCTCCAGCGTTACCTCCACTCCTTGGGCCGCGGCTGCCGGCGCTACTGCGAGCTCTGTGAGTGAGGGACGGAGGCGTAAGGGGCAGGAGGGGGCTGGGTACCCCTTTCGCGGTGGTTGTCATGGAGACGGCGCGAGGCGGAAAGAGGCGTTGCCGTGGTGACCGAGGGCAAGCCAACCGCCAGAAAAGTGAGGGAAGAAACAGCCCATGTTTCCCAACCGTGGCAACTTTTAAGAGCGGGTGGACTTCAACTCCCAGCATTCCCCAGGCGGCGTAGCGCCGGCAGCCTCGGTCCAGGTAGTGGAGGTAGCTGGCTGGGGAATGCTGGGAGTCGAAGTCCACACAACTTAAAAGTTGCCACGGTTGGGAAACACTGTAGTGTAGGTGTGTGTGTGTGTGTGTATTTGTGTGTCTCACAGAAGTGATTACAACCCCTCACGTTTTGTAAATATTTAAGCATATCTTTTCATGTGACACCACTGAAGAAATGACACTTGGCTACAATGTAAAGTAGTGAGTATGCACCTTGTATAACAGTCTAAATGTGCTATCCCCTCAAAATAACACAACACGGAGCCATTAGTGTCTAAACAGCTGGCAAGATATACTTAAATATTTACAAAATATGAGGAGGTGTACTCACTTCTGTGATGTACTGTGTATGTATGCATAATGGTTTATATATGTGTGTGTTTGTGTGTGAGTGTGTGTGAGAATATATATGTGTGTGTGTGTGTGTGTGTGTTGTATTTGTGCTGATAAATATTTGGGCATACCAAGGGTTGTGACACTAAATACATATATGTATATTATATATATATTTAGATTTTACAACCCCCGGTATGCCCAAATATGGGAGGAAGATCACTACAGCACAGGCTCGATTCCCAGTAAGGGTATGGCTAGCTGATGAGAGGTGAATATATATATATATTTAGATTTTACAACCCCCGGTATGCCCAAATATGGGAGGAAGATCACTACAGCACAGGCTCGATTCCCAGTAAGGGTATGGCTAGCTGATGAGAGCTAAATAGATCTATACTAGTCTCC